GCTGACACATGAACCTTTTTTTCCTTTATATAAACTGTTGTATACTGAATAAACCTTTGAGTTGATTGTGGGAGAGCAACCTGAACAGTCTCTGTATCATTTTGTTCTCCTAACTGCTCCCGACGTCGTAACTAACCCAGCTGAACGGCATACCTGAGCGTTACTTTGAATAATTAGGAATCTTATAAGGAAAGGACAAAACTCTGCTTATCGGTGCTCACGCCTTGGAGGAAACCCGATCCACGGAGAAACCCGGGACGGAGATTTCTTTCAATTTCCATGAGAGAAATCCCACGCCTGGACCGTCATTGACTGCTGCCATGATTCTAGCCTACGTCACAGCGTCATGTGCGCCTTTTACATCCAACACAAAAACTGCAGTCGTGGTGCTTTCGTTTGTCCTCAGAACTCGGAAATTCTGCCTTCTGAATAGGAAGATGTAGGTAACACCAGACTGCAGATGAGCTGCATACAGGGCTGGACTGGGACAGAAAATTGGCCCGGGCATTTTGACTAGAGACCGGCCCAGCATTATAGGAAAAATCATAAAGCCTTTGAATGAAAACAAACGCTGTTGTGACAGTGATGTACACTGTTTTGATGGCATATATGCATCAATCTATCAATCGTTTGTTGTAAGATTCAGATAATTATTTTTTAAAAGCTAGACATTTTAAATGAGAATAAGAAAGAAAAGTATTTCTTTGTGCCCCCCTTTCCCTTTTAATGCCCTACATGCCCCCCTGGCAACACATTGCTAGATCCGCCCCTGCACAGTTACCAGCTGTCAGCTACCTAAAAAAGGATCCTGGTGTTATTTGTCTCTCAGAAACAGTTCATAACTTCCCTTCAACTCATTCATGTCACCTAAAAGGTAAACCTGTTTCACCATCACCTGTTCAGCTCTGATGATTCAGTAAGGACATCTCCTGGTTTCATCTTCATGTTTCCCTCTCACCAGATAACCAAACCATATCATGACCAGCAGCTTTTTTGCAGCTGTGGCTCCAGCAAACATCAGCTGATACTAGAAATTAATATTAAATAAATTCTAACAATAGCTGATCAAGCTTAAACGTGCTGCTGTTGTTTAGCGCGACATCCGCTGGTTTCCTCTTTCGGCGCAAAGTGGGCGATAAACAAACAAGAGAGAAAACCTATCAGCTGATCATTGATCAGTTTTCATGATTGAAGTGGAAACGGGAGAGGGAGGGGGAGAATGAAAGAAGAAGAGGCAGCTGCAGCGTAAAGACACAGAGTAACTCCAGCTTTGTGCCTTTTTCATTGTAGCTGAATTACGGGACAAACTGTTCCTTTTCACCTCAATAAGAAACGCGTAATATTTTCTCTGAATACCAGACGGGACGGTTGGCAACTCTAATAACTTATGAACAAAATAAAGTTCAACATCAGTAACATAGCACCCACCCAGCTGTATAGAAACTCCGTCATGCTAGCTAGTCAGAATAAGGAAAAAAAATTACACCTAAACTTGGTTCATATCTGACCTAGAGAGACTGCAGGTCATAACTTCTTACCTGAAGTTCAGTTCACACTTGGACCGGCGGCCGCCTCGGGTCTCTGCTCCTCCTGCCTCCCTTTTCCTTCATCCACCTGCTGGCCTCCACCACTTGCTAATATTACTGAATCTGTGGAAGCTCCGCGATAGCCACCACACGAAGTAACGAGTAACGCGTTCCTGATTTTGGCATAATAACTAGTTACCGTGCTCGTTAACACAATAATAACGTAGTTACTGTAATGCGTTACTTAATAACACGTTAGTCCCAACACTGGTCATAGGTGATGTTGCATTGAACACAATGAACTTGGTCCAGCTCAGCTTACATTATATTACTACCCTGTTCACACACATAACAGATTTTAATGATGTCTTTTGTATCATCAAAAGCTTTGTAAAATGAATATTTTGTCCTGCATGCTGAATCACTGCCACCAACAACATTAAGGATTTTCATGATATCTTCAAGACAGTCGTTGGTCAAAATGTGTTTGAGCTTGAGTGCCAGAAATAGTAGTTGGTTTTGCTCTTTAGTTTGACCTGGATCCACTGGGACCTCTACCTGAACAGGACCTGCAATGCACTCTTCATCATTAGTCATCAGCAGAGTTCTGTCTTCTGGAAGGATGTCTGGGATTACCTTGAAAAGAGAAGAAGGAGAGAATTATGGGTCCTGTAAACATCACATTATAAATCTTCAGTGTAAGAGCATTAGCCTAGTAGATTACAGCAGACATTTGAAATTGGCCTTATTCACTAACTGTGCACTATTTGACATGTCCATTCAGTCTTGCCAAAATCTAAGTGTGCTTTGGCTGTCCAAGATTAACTCTCAAAATGAATGCTTAGTGCTTTCTTTCATGATAAATTCTGTAAGAATATATGATTGCAGTAGAAAGTAGGAATTACTGTAAAAATCACAATTAGAACAATGATTACTTGTTTTATTTTTTTCTTGTTCAATGCACTAATACATGAATATTCTATAAAAAATTAATATGTTTAGAAATGTCATGATCTTTTTGATTTCATTTCTTGACTTAAATTCAACTAAGTCTTGTGTACTTATTTCGACAAATCTATAGTCCTATATTCATAATAAATTCAATTTAGGTTTATGCATTAAATGTGTTTTCATTACAGTTAACCCAAAATGTTTATATTCCACCACTAACCTTAAAAAGAGACCAATAAGATGGTCATTTATTATTTGGTATAACTGAAGTAATTAAATGCTAAGGGATAAGATAAAATGGATAATAAGATAAAAGGAATAAAACTTTATTTTGGTAATCATCACCCTCAAGTTGTTCTGAACCTGTTTCTTTGTTCTGTTGAACACAAAAGAAGATATTTCAAAGAATGTTGGTAACCAGTTTCTTGTCCCTACTGACTTCCATAGTATTGTTATTTTACACTATGTCCATACTATGTCAATGGGGACCAGCAACTGTTTGGTTATCAACATTATTTTATGTTAACCTTTCCAAAATGGACTTTCCTGTTGCATCATTTTTTGACAATGATTTTTAGGCTTTTCCCAAAAATCGTTGGTTTTCTTCTAACTATGTGACATCCATAATTTCCTAACATTACGTAGTCCATATATATCCAATATGATTTTACACCCTCAATAAATACAAAGTATGACCTAGTAACAGAAAAAAATCTGATATTTCAATAAGGAACAGTCAGCATTTCACAAACATTACACTTGTTTTGAGAGAGTGAAAGCTATCACAAAAGGACAGAAGCTGTAGCTGCCTAGTGAAAACATTTTCTGCTCTCCATTATTTATGGAAGCATCACTTCATTCATTATTGCAGACAAAACAAAAAAAAGAGACAAATCAAATAAAACTTGAAAATGCTACAAACAAAAATAAGCAAAAGAAAACTGTAAAAAAAAAGACCCTGTTGAATTTTAGTGGTATTTGATGAGGGTGTTGACTGAGCATCCACCCATCTCTAAAGAAACAACAGTTTCATGTGTGACTGATGGTGCCAACAGTGTTTTTTTAATGGGAGTTGGTACAGTAGCACATGAGGAAGTGAGGCTGATACAGTGACTTTGTAAACACTCTCACATTACAGCAAATATTATAATGATACTTCTCTCATGACAACTTGCCATCTAAAACTAACTATTTTCCCATAAGGGGGAAGATGGTCTCCAGAGCTGAGAACATTCATGAGCTTTCTCTTTAAGGTGTAAACTTTAGTAGGATAAATGATATCCTACTACAGTTGTCAAATCAAATCGTATCAAATCGGATTTGCTTTCAAAGTGTTAATTTCCTTTTTTTTAAACTGTCTATTTTATGGCTGTTCTTTATTGATCTGTTACCCATTTTAGGTATTTTGTTTTTTATAGAAATACTCAGATATCACCATTATCAGATTATTCTGTTATTATATGTTACCTTATATATGTAATCAAAGTAGTTGAATTAGAATACTGCTGTAGATCATATTATACCCTTTTATATAGATTGTGTGATCTGTATGTAGTTTAGTTCTCATTATACTTTTGAGTTAAAAGAACATATTCACTTATTAGTTTATTAGATAAGTGTGCATCACTCTGTATCCTTGATCTGCTGTGAATGTATTACACTGTTTTCGTGACATGCTTTAATGTTGAATCATAAAAAGAAAGATTGTTCAGGAGACTCTGTGTCTAAGACAGGGGAGATAGACCACATTCCATACCCCCACTTTACAGAGAGCAGAGAAAGACAGGGAGCCGAGGTCATAACTTAGGCGCCGTAACAGAGAAAGAATGTGAATGTTTGGGCTTTTACGACTAGGTGGGGGCCACTAGCGGCTATAAGAAGCTGAGTAACACGTCACCATTTCGAGACTGCTGTGACCCTCTTCAGGCATGTCTCCCCATCATGATGGTTCTAAATGCTCTTTGTGTTGAATTGTATGGAAATAAATGATTGTTGATTGAGCATTTATACACCGAGTATTGTCCTTCCTTCAGCCCAAAGATTCAAAGAATTGGGAGATTTCAACACCATGAAGCACTTGGGTGTGACACTGAGACCAGTGGAGAAACATACATGGGAACAAGACTGACGGGGAGATAGAAAGAGAACACCGAATGCAGAGACAAGACTAAATGGAAAGGATAAGGCTGACTAAACATGGGACATGAAAACTCCCCTGTTCCGTTCTCCATGATAACAGAAACCTACAGACTAAAAAACAAAACTAAGAAGACCTAAGAAAACAAATATAAACAGAGGGATCACAACTGTAAACCAAAGCGAGGAACAGAACCGAGCGTGACATCTTTGTTGACAAGCAGTCAATAAATGAAATTAAACATCCATGAAATTCAAGCTGGGTGGAGAGAATTGCGTAAGGTTGGTAAAGACAGGGGTAGTGAAGCATGGAATCAAAACATACTTAAGTATTTTTAGTGCATCTCTTCCTGGTATAGAAATGTAAATATAAGAAAGTGTATATAAGTGTTCATCACCAGATGAGGGGTGAAGCTACAGGCTGACACTTGAAAGAGGAGAAGACATTCTACAGACAGGTATGTTACAAATATGCTGAGGATCTTCTATCCTTTCTTTATCAAACTGCTAATCACTTTTGTTAATGTGTTTCTTACAGAGACACTAAATATCATCATGAAGCTGCTGACTGCATCTGCACTTCTCTGTGCAATGATGGCTCTGACCGCTGCTCAGGGTAAGTATAAAAGTATATAACTAGTATCATACTGAATGTTGTGCATGTCAATGGGCTATACAGCTGTCCAAATAATAAGATCTATTTTTAAATACATGTTTTTAAAAATAGAAATCTAAAGGAAGAAAATGACACATTTTCCAGTTGAAATTTGTTGAAAAGTAAAACTATTGCCAATAAAACACAAGTTAATGACCATAATTATAATTATTCCAGTAAAGGGGGAATTGAGTCAGCATTTTATCACACAATATGTTTGCTTTCTCTTGTCAGATGAGTGCTATGTTCTCAAGAAGTCCTCATCATGTCCCACTGGTTGGACTGAGTCCAACAACAAATGTTACTTCTATGTTTCTACACCCTTACCCTGGGGTGATGCTCAGGTAATAACATCAGGACTCACCAGTTACTGTGACTTTGTTTCTTTGATTCTTTAATATTTGGATAAGAGCTTATAATAATATTTTTTAATATTATATTAAACATTTTTATATTGACAATTATTAAAATGTTATCAAAGCCAATGTACTGTTAAAATTTGTCTAAAATGATAATAGTATGTATTGATCATTGTTAATGTTATCATTTATTGAATTTTAATAATGCTATCATTTGTTCAAATATGTATATATGTCATATATGGATTTACTTTTTAACAAGTAAACAGTAACAATATATTAGTAAACAAGAAATACAAACAAAGAAGCAAACAAACGAAAGTCTCCAGTTCCTCCTTCCTTCTCCGTTCCTACAATTTATGCCATGGATAAATCACCTGTCAATTTTTGCTTCAATTAAAACCAGTTCTTATATGTACTGTGAAATATGCACCCAAGCTTATAATAGCAAATATTATTTTTTAATTTATAAAAATAATGCTAATTATTGCAGTAAATGGTTTAAGCCACCAACATTAACTGCATGAAATAATTCTGAATGATAAATGATTGTAAATGTATTAATCATTAGTCCTTTCGATATAATAATTTTTAAAAAACGTTATTTTTTATTACTTGTTGAATGGTAAGCTATTAATAAAAGGTCAGATAATTAAAATCAATAATTTTGTCAGTCAATGTAAATATTTCTTAGTATGTTTTATTATTGTTTGTATGTTTGTGGTGGTGTAATCATGAAGGTTGTTTTATAAATCTTCTGTAACTCTTCTGTCTTTTTGTTTACTGTAGAGAAACTGTCAGACCATGAGTGCAAACCTTGCATCTGTACAGAGCCTTGGGGAATACCAGCTAATTCAGAGGGTGATATCTGATGGGGGTAAAGCTAATGGACGAACATGGGTTGGTGGTTCTGATGGTCAACAGGTATGCCAGTCTGCCAGTTAAAACATAAATCTATCCACTGGATATTTTACTTATTTCTCATTCTTATCTTTTTTTTCATTGCCATATAATTCCATATATCTTGTTTCATATATTTGATATCTTCAGTTTCGATCTACAATGTCGGTAGTAGTGAAAGTAAAGCCAAACCAATAAATGAGAAGGTGTGTCCAAACTTGGTAGTCAATGTATAATGTTAAAGTGCAGTTTCGTTAAAAAACGATTTCTTATTTTTAACTTTTTTCTGTTCTGTAGGAGGGTTATTGGTTTTGGATCGATGGAACACGTTTCCAATACACAAACTGGTGTCGGGGGGAGCCTAACAACTTGGGCAGCGAGCAATGCATGGAAATGAATTTTCCAGGTATAAAATTGTACATAATATATACAAGTGCTATTGTCATTATATATAAAACCAAAAAAAAACCAAAACATTTTTCTCATATATTCTATATTTTTGTGTCCATGCAACAAAAATTTCAGTTAAAGTTGATTTTTGGTGCTTACAGGAGACCTGTGTATGAATGATATCTCTTGCCAGTCCCGATTCCCTTCTGTCTGCATTAAGAGTAAGTGATGATTCCTGGGCTGACATGAAGACACGTCATCTGAAAAAGAAAGAAATCTTCTCATATCTCACTCAAAATATCTGTTTTCACATCTTTACCTTTTTCTTTTGCTGTAACGATGCATAAGGAATGAAGCGACAAGTGACATAAAATAGTGTGATTGTGTCTTTTAAAAGGAGCAATTGAAATGTGTAACGGAAAGAATGCTTTTAGCAAAAACTTAAAAACAAAACTTTTTTTCTCTTCTGCATCATTAAACTATTAAGCATTGAATCAAACTGGTCTGTGAGTATCTGTGTTTTTGTGTAACATTATGTAAGCTTGGAGTTCAGTTTTTAAACACTCACTGATTAGATTAACTCACTGATAGATTAACCCACGTATAAATCTTCTTGAAACTACACCAATTTCTCTTGAAGTTACTTTAATCTTTTTAATCTGATGCTATTTGCTTCTGTGTCCTGTTTCTGCTTTTGATGGCATCACCACACACGAGCATGCAATTAGACACTCACACACACACACGATGAGGTCTCCTTTAAATAAGTCTGCCCTCTTTTGCTTCCCTCGTCCCAAACTTTTAGTTTCACCTAATAGTGCTAAATTTCAGAAATAACTAAATATTTTGCTAAAGCTTTTGTACATTGTCATACTTGTTAAGATACAACCTTGCACCCTTTTCACAAACCTCTAAACACAAACTGAACTTTTTTTCACAAAACCTCTGCAAATACATAATAAAACCATGTTAGGTTACTTTTATAACAACTTCTGGGTAAAAGCCGTAGGTTATTAGTTTAAATGTTGGTTTAAAAGTCGTGACTCAAGAGTTGGGTTGGCGATGTGCTGGGTTAATTAACTCCCTGGCTTGAATAATTCTATTGGGTCATAGGTTCGCTAGCTTTGATCAAATATTGGGCCAAGATTTTACCCAATTGTTTGTGTAGAAGATACGCTTCAGAAGAAGCCACATTATTCTTCTGAAACTGCCATTTTCAACTAGACTGTGACCTGATCAGATATCACTGATTTCTCCTCTGCTATGAAATAAAACATGGCAAGCAAAAAGTGAATTCAAACACTCTAAAAATCACTGGGTTATTTTTGATAATTACACTTTACTGGTTTATTCTAGAACTTTGATTAAAGGCCTTTTTACAGACAACAACAGCTAGCTTGTGATGAAGAAAGATAAAGTTATTTCTACTTAAAAATGCTGGATAATGTCTTTTAAACTTATTATGTGAAATGAGGCTGAGGTTGCCCTGTTTGACAAATTATTTAGAGATTACTACATCTAGAACATTTTTTGGTTTTGCATCTTTTGTTGAATAGATGAATCTCAGGACATGAATCAAATATGACCAAATTAACGAGGGCTCATTTAGCTATGATGGAAGCATAAAATGTTGCTCATTAAGGTGTATGAAATGATCTGAGAGGGAGAGTCCCTCTTGCCACTTGTAATGTTGGGTTGTGTTCAGTGGTTGAGAATAGTCGGTAGAAACCTTAGCAGGATAGTAGGAAGGATACACGATCATACTGGTACTGGGAATTCCACAGCGTATCCTTTAGTGCACATTCTCTTCATCAACCACACAAGGCCTTGCAGGAGGTCTCCTCTCTTCAGGAACTCACTCTGCAGGAGGGGGAGCTACAAGAGAGGTGGAGGAAGATCTCAGCCTGGGCGTCTACTGTCTTGTGTAGTCTGGAAGATGAGTGGATGACGGGGTGGGTGCAGTTTTCTCTGTGGTGGGGTCGGGTGGGCTGTCCTGGGCTCTGCAAGGCCAGGCAGCGCTGCTGAACTAGGGCCCCCCTTTCCCTGGTGGGTTGCAGAGTATGGGGGTGCCTACTGGGGTCAGCGGGGGAGCTGGGGCCAGCTCTCCCAGGGAGGGGTCACTTGCCCCGCTCCCTTCCTTCCCTCCCCATCTCCAGCTGCCTCCCTCTTCCCGCTCCACCACAATCACCCACACAGGCAGGGCCTTCGGGTAAAGGTGTGTCACAGGGTGCAGGGGAGGCATCCCCCCTTCTGGCTGCCTGTGCCTCAATTTTATCCCACAACTTAGACATTCACATTACTCACACTCGCATTACACATATGTAACCACGGTAACTTCTGACCCCACTTCCGCCAGTCCCTTTATTGTGGCGGGATGAACCCTGCATAAGTTCCGGGTCAATCAGCTGCATGTTCCCTGCTCCTCTGGCTGTTGTTGTCCCTGTAGTTGGCGTACTTGTCAGATATCGACAAACACTACAGACCAGTTGACAGCGTGCAATAACCTGGCCGATTCATTCATCTTTACACTACCTCACAATCGAGTCAACGGTGAGTTAGTTGTTTGTTTGTTTTTTCACAATTAATGAAAATGCGGAGCCGGTAAAACGCCGGTAAGCTAATTCTAGGCTAGCGACAGTAAGTGCAATTACTAGTTTTATTTATTGAATATTGTTGTTTTTGTTTGTTCCATTATGGCCGAATGTTGACTTAACGTATCTAGAGTTGAAGGAGTGATTTGAATTTTCTAGTTTTGTCCATTTGGGATGTTTTTTGTTACTTTTCTGATGAAATGCCAAAACGGCCTATGAGATTTTGCATAGAGTTAAATTCCATTGAGATTATTGAATCTGTTGCGCAACACCTGTGATTAAATGAGTTTTGTAAATACATTTGATTAACTTTGGATAATTTTTATTAGCTTTATTGCTGATATACTTTGACCCATGAGAATGGTTTTCTATAATAGTATTTTGAATGAAATTCATTATAAGAGATGATGGTTTATTGATTGTTGTATGAAACATGGCATTAATTAGTTGTCTTTGTTATTTATGGATTTATGTATTTATTTTGTCACAGCAGTAGAATGCTGTTTCATTTTCTTCAGTGAATGATAATTTATGTTTTTGACCTTGTTTAGGTCAGGTTTTTTTTCTCCCGCGATCAGCGCGGGATGGCGAGCCACCCGACCACCGCTACGTTGCGGTAGGAATCGTAAACCTATGGACTGAATTACACTGTTTACACATGACCTATCACAGGTCTATGGAACTAAACTAAATCTCATACTGGACTACACCTCATCCCAACTCCTTTTGGAACCTAATAAGCTGTTTTGTATTGTCAACATTATTTTTGTTTGTGATATATATGCATATTTTTTAATTTTTTCGTACATCTGTCTATACATTTCTCATACCAAACATAATATATATATTTTGAGCTCTAATTTGCTTTCCTGTGCTTTATTCACACACTCAGGCTCCATAGTCGAAACGAATTCTGATAGCTCATTGTCTATGAAGCTGCAGTAAAGTGCCTTGGTCCTTTAACCGCGTTACACATACATATAGGATCTTGGGGGTGGGCACGCTACACGGTACCCAAAAGACCATCAGGGTGTATAACCTCACCCCTGGCGTTGTTGCCCACCTCTCAATTTTAAATACATTTAGACATTGAGGGCTATCAGGAGGGGCTATGCGCTTACCTGCTGCTCTCTGGCAGGTAGCTTCATGCCCTCCTGGGTTTTAAATGCACCTTAGAACACACATGCATCAACACTACATATGAGCGGGCGGAGGGAGGTTTGGAGTCTTCACACACCCCCGTTCTCTACGGCCTGTTGGAGCAGGTGGACTAGGAGGGGGTCTGGAAAGTGGGGCCTCACTGCTGCTGCCGAGCTGGGGCGGTCTGCTTCTCTCCACCCCAGGGAAAAAGGGTAACACTACCTGGGTCTGGGTAGCAAGGGTACCTAGACCCGGGGCTTAGAGTACGCTTGGGGAGTGTGATTGTGTGTACAGTGTCTCTTTATGTCTGTCTCCACGTTGGGTGAGTGTTGAGTAATTGCATATGAGAGCATGAGGGTGGGAATGGATGTTTGTATCTGTGTGTGCCGATATGTCAGATCGGGTATCAGACGCCACCCCTCTAGGGGCATCTCAGGCCCTCCAAGGTATGGAGGGCTATCTCCCCCCCGCCCTCAGACATCGGTGCGTTGGTGGTTCTCTATGTCCAGGGATGGGCATCCAGGTAGCCACTGGCTCACTCCTTGGTGGCTGCTTGTCGGGGCCTGGAGCCTGGGGCTCGCTCGGGGGACTTTGGGGGTGGGGTGCCCTCGGCCTCTCGGCCTGGGGCTCGGTCACTCTGGCACAGCTGGCTGCCGGCGGAGCTCACGGGCACGTCACTGCAACTCCCCCTGGCTTCTGCTCCGCAGCTGCTGAGTGAGCCCTCATCTGGGACTCTCGTCAGCTCTTTCTGGGACAGTGGCTCGGCTGCCCCTCTGTTGGTCTTCCTTGGTCTCTTGTGTTCTGGGGGCCTCTGGATGTCTGGAGTTTTGATCTCCTCCATACCTGCTTCATGCCCTGGAGGGTGGCTGTGGCTCCCCACACCCTCTAGCAGATCATTACATGAAGGAACCTTTTAATACAAGCACGCTCATGCTCACAGGTGTACACATGGGTGCTCACACACACAAACTACACCCTTTTTGGCTCCTACCTCAAAGCACACTGTGCGCTGTCGATATTACATGCTGCACAATAATGTTTAATATTTAGTATTTACTGTTATATTCCCATATATCATCGTGACGTTGTTTATTATGTTGATCTTTTTTTTTCTTCTGCTTGTTCTCTCGTTTTTCCTTTCTCAACAGGTGATCCAGGTGATTGATATATGTATTTTTTTTGTCTGCTTATTTTGTTGTTTTTTGTTTTTTGCCCTTTATCCCCGTCCCTCTTCCCCACTGTTTTTCTTTCCCTCTTTCTTTCTCCCCTTTCTTTTCCCCAGTCAAGTCCATCCCGTATTTAACAAGTGAAAATAAAATAAAATAAACAATAAAAGGTGAATCAAATAGGCCATTACGGCAAGGCTGCGATGGTCAATTTGGTAAAGTAAATCCGTTGGGCATCTTTCTTCGCCTTTAGACAATAATTCTGATGGCAAAAGAGCCAAACGGGACAGGGGGGAAAAAAACAAAACATACAAGGCCTGGTTGAACGGCTGCTGCTTATCAAACATGACAGACAGTGTTCATACAACCTGTAACGTTGCAAAGGGTTTCTGGAGGAGTAAAACATATAAAGCCATCTCTCTCAATGTATTTGCATGCAAGTGTTGCTTCCATAAGTCACAGAGAGGGCAGTGGCACACACTAATGACATCATTAACCCTCGACTTGTGTTACATTAAAGAGATACCACACCATTGTGACTGTTGCATATTTCCCCCGGGTTAAACAAAGGCTGTCTCCAGCCGAACACAGCAAAGGTACAA